ACGTCTATAAGTGTCGAAAATGCGTCTTGTGCTTACTGGGAACTTACACAATGAGTAAATCATTGTGTAAGTTGTTACAGTCTGTAACAACTTACACAATGAGTAAATCATTGTGTAAGTTGTTACAATGCTTCAATATTGAGCTTTATTAAAAAAAAATGCTGTTTAAAATTAAAAAAAAAAAAAATTGAATTTACTTTTTCGAAAGTAATAGTTACGATTCGAGTAAAACGTTTTTTAATTACTAAATATAATACTTTTCTGTTTCTCTAAAGTATTGCTTATATAATACTTTTTACAAAATAAAAAAAAAAGTTGTATTACAAGTTTATCTTGAGAGATATAGAGTAATACTTGAGAAAATACTTTGTTCAAAATTAAAAAAAAAAAAATTATTAACATTTTTTTTCTAAAGGAATAGATTCTAGTAAAAACTTTTTAAATTACTTAATATAATACTTTTCTACTGTTCTTATGTGTTATATAAATAATACTTTTTACAGAATAAAAAAAGTTGTATATTTCTTGAGATAATTAATTATTTGCATTTTACACTAAAAATTCTTTCTTATGCTGAGTATTAGTGACAGTGTAACAGCCGTGATCTCTCGCCTAAAATTAAAAAAGACCAAAGATGCGTATGGAATCTCTGAAGAACATTTAAAGTTGCATTGCACGTTGCGAAGTCCTTACAAAGTGGCTAAGGAAATTCTTTAACTTTATTATTAACCAAGGTCAGGTCCCAATCGATGTCTACATCACTTATTATACCTCTTGCTAAGTCTTACAAAAAATCATTAACTGATCTAAATAACTACCGTTGTATTAGCATCATTCTAATCTTTACAAAACTAGTAGAATATCTTATTTTAATAATCTGTCCAGAGGTAAAAGAAACTCATCCTTTTCAGTTCGGTTTTACTAAAAACAGTTCAATTTTACATGCCAAATTTGTTATGAGTGAAACGGTTAAAACTTTACAACAACAACAACTCACCTGTACATCTCTGTTCCCTAGATGCTGAAAAAGCATTTGTAGCTACGACATTTTATTTGAGAAACTGTACGGTAATAAATAATTATTACTAATATAATTACTAATAATAATATTAGTATTATTAATAATAATCGTCATTGTACCATGAAAGCAGTGATCTGTCACTTATCTAGGTACAAGTCATATCCATTTTATCTAACACAGAGGGTGAGACAAGGACCGGTTCTGTCTTCTCACCTGTATAATATATATACTTAAAACCTATTTAAAATCATACAAAATAAAAGTATTGTAGGGACATCAACTTATGAAAGTTACACAGGTGTTGTAGCATACCCTGATGACATCCTTCTTCTTAGTTCTACCCTGTCTGGAATAAAAAAGCTTATAACAGCTTGTAATATATACACTAACGAAAATTGTATTAAGTTGAATTCTAGTAAGACCGAGTTCTTGTTCACTGGAAAAAAACAAATTGCAAACTGCACGATAACAATCGACCACCAGTAAATAAAACTGGATGAGAAACTTAATCATCTAGGTTTTATATGGGATACTAAAAGCTCTTCTGTTGCATCACTGAATCATTTAAATATTGATAATAGAATATCAAAATTCAGGGCAATAATTCAAACTCTTATTCAGTCTGGAAACCGCTTTGCTCATCCAAGCTCTATCGTCCAGCTATAAAAAACATTGGCGGTTCCGATACTTATGTATGGTCTTGAACTTTGCGACAATAACGTACTAATGCAAAAGCTTGATATAATAGGGAGGAATGCACTTAAGTCACTCTTCAATTTTTCCAAACACAGCATAAATTATATTCATTCTTTGTTTTACATCCAAGATGTATCAACAATTTAGTAGTAAGTATTAGTATTTAGAAGTATCAAAAGTAAGTATTAGTATTTAGAAGTATCAAAACAAGTTAAAAATTATTCGCATATTGAATAATAAAACAACCTCTGGTATTGTAAATTTGCAGTTTAAAAACCAAACCGCTTAGCACCCTTTTCTAGATGATGTCATAGGTCTATGCAATCGGAATGAATTCAATTTAGAGAGCTTAACGCAAAATAAATAAAAGTAAAAGTTATTGTGTTAAGAAATATAATTTCTAAAAAAGATCTTCAAAAGATAAGCTATGCAATTGAGTTCTGGAACTCATTGGAGCAAAGGAAAATATTCAAAGAAATTCTTAAAGTAAATATTCCAAAATAAAAACTTATTTCTTGTCAAAAATGTAACTTTATAATAATATACCTTCTACAGCGGATAATTAATAAATATAAAATATATATAAAAACTTTAGAAAAGATCAACGAATAAAAGTTATTCACAAGGTAACACTTTTTGTTGCATTTAAATTGTCTAAACATCAAAATAGCATTGGTCAAATTATAAAGAAAATAATTTCATTAGGGTGGTCAGTTACAGAGTGCGATCGCACGCCATTCCTGTCCAAGCCTGATACTCATCAACTAAACCAATAAAAAAATAATATGATGCAACTAAATGCAGATAAATAAAAATAAAAAATAACATTAAGTAAAAATAAAATAGCTTCAAAGAAATATCAAAAGTAAGATATTTAATACAAATAATTAAATTTTTAAGTAAGTCAAACAAATGAAAAATCTTGGAAGATTTACAAACCTAACTTTATAGTAACATCTGAGTTTTAAGGCATTTTAAATAACGTCATAACTTGTGCTATAAGATCTACGCAAAGGTGATTAAAATACAGTTTTATTTTATTTTATTTATTTATTTTATTTTTTTTTTTTTTATAAATATTTATATACAATTATATAGAATACATTATCTCAACTTGTTAAAAATTATAGTTTTGCAATATATAATTTTTTTTTAATACAACTATTACTATGGTTTACACATTTTCAAAAAAATAACTGTCACTATGGTTACAATAATAATGGTGTTACAATAATTTTTTTTTTATTAGAGTGCCATTGTGCGGAAAGAAATCGAAAGATTTGAAAAAGTTAAAGAGGAAAATGTTTTAAAAAGGATTCAAGACAGAAAAACTACAGAAAAATATTTAAAAAGGGAAATTTAAAAAGCTACAGAAAAACATTTAAAAAGGGAAATTATAATTCATAAAATAAAAGCTGGCAGTGACTTTTTAAACATAAATAATAATATTTTGTTGTAAAAATAATAATTCGTAGAGAAACGGAAAACATCACTAAACATATAGTTCTTTTATTGAGCTAGCGTGTCAGTTTAGCTCATATGTTTAGTTTCAGTCTTCCGTTCTCTACTTGGCATGTTATATCTTTAACACAAAAAAGTTGACAGAAAATGTCCGCAGTGTTTCTACGGACATGATAATTATATTTTAAAGTAATAATATTCCTGATTTTCATGGTTATTACCCTGATCACTGCCATTGGGTTGATTTTCATGTTACTAAACATGTGGTGGCATCTGCTGTTCCATATCTCACTCATGATGGTTTGAGTGAGTGTCAACAACAGTTGCGAATTAGGGTTTTTTTCCGATAAATTCGCGGTTCCGATAGAGAAAATCGAATTTATTGGAGAAAAACCCTTTTGGAACGTCAAGGAGTTATATACATGTTTAAAATATTCCCAAATTTCAACAGAGGGAGGACAGTAGGCAAAGATGTGAAGGTTGTCCTCGATTTTACCACAAGTTTTACATTTTTTGTTTTTGACAACCTGTTGCCTTGTGCTTTTGGCTAGCAATGCCGCAGAAGGTAGGCTGTTGTGCAAAAATCAAAAGAGGATGTTTTGAGTCGGTCCGCATGCGTGGGAGGTAAAGTTCTTTTTCCAAATTTGGGTCCACGGCATTGTTATTTTTATTGAACCGTTCCAGAAAAGTTCCGCTGGTACGACTGTCTTTTTGTTTTTTGCCACTTCTAAGTAAAAATGTTTTGTTGATTTTAGGGGGATGTTAAAAAGGAACCCGTTTTTGCCTTCAATATTGATTTCAATACTGAGATATTTTGTTGTCCCAGTGTTTTGGAAAATTGTTCTGTTTCAAAAAGTTCCAGCTTGGGTTTTGGTTTGTAAATTTTATAAGTGAGCTTGCTAACCAGTACTTTAAAAAGTAGTAATTATCGTGGGTGTTATCCTCTCCGCATTCTTTCAGTTGAAAAAGAGTGTTTTGAGGCGGAGCCCAAGGCTTTGCTCCTTCGGTGATAAAATTCTGAAACCCCCGCTTTTGACGGGTAGGAAAAGCGTCTCTCTTTTGACCGGATTGAAATTGGTCTTTTGCCACAGATTTTCGAAAATGGCACTGTGCAAACGTTCTATTACCCATTCGGGAACAGGCAACACGTTTGCCAGAAACCACACTTTTGATAATGCTAACGTATTTATCAACATAGTCTTTCCTCTAAGTGACAAAGTACGTAGTCCCAGAAACTTGAGTTTTTTCTCTATTTTGTTTAGAGTTACTAGCCAGTTGAAATTGGTAGTATTACTCAGTCTGGTGTAAAATGTAACACCTAAAATTTTGAAACCGGTGTTACTAGTCCACTCTATGTTGTCCAATTCCGGGTACATTTTGGGATCGAAGCCCCCAAAAGCAAGACCCTTGGTTTTTGAGGCGTTGATCACTAAACCATTTGCTTTTTCAAAAAGTTTAACTGTTTTGAAAAAAAGCGGACTGATTTTACGTCCCTGGCAAAAAATTTCGAATCGTCTGCGTACTGCTGTATTTTTAGCAGTTTTGGTGTTCCTCGTAATGGGAATCCCTCAATTCTGCTATCCCCTCTGACCACCAAAGCGAGAGCTTCGGCGACAAAGACATACAACAAAAGAGAGAGAGAGTCGCCTTGTCTAACTCCCCTTTCGGTGGGGAAAGGGGCTGACAAGAAACCGCAATTCAGAAGAGATGCCGAAATTTCTTAATACAGGGTGTTAACAAAAGATACAAAATTTTCTCCGAGGTTGAATTTTAGGAGAATCTGCAGCAGAAACGCACGATCGACTTTGTCAAACGCCTTTTCTTAATTTATTGACAAAATGAAACTAGGTAGAGTTTTATATTCCGCGTAATCTATTTGATCACGGACTAAGTGTAAATTTGAGAAAATTGTTCTACCTGGAATTCCGGAAGTTTGATTTGGTTCTATAATTTTCCCCATTACTTTTGCAAGTCTTAGGGCTAGCGCTTTTGTGGTTATTTTGTAATCAACGCTGATTAAAGATATAGGCCTCCAATTTTTAAATTCAGTGAGATCTCCTTGCTTGGGTATTAGTGAAATTATTGATCTTTTCATAGAGTGGCTGGTGGTTTTTTCTACAAAAAGTATTTCGTAAGCAAGCTCTTCAAAATCTTTTTCTATAATGTGCCAAAAAGTTTTATAAAATTCAGCTTGAAGTCCGTCATAGCCGGGAGATTTTCCGTTTTCAAATTTAAAAAGGGTTTCTTTTAACTCCGCGCCGGTTAGGCGGGTGTTTAAAAATTGTTTTTCATCATCACTCAAATGTTTAGTGATGTGTGACAAGACATAGTTTTGCTGTCTTTGTATAAATTCGTTTTGGTGTAGATGTTTTTGTAATACGAAACGAGGGATTTTAAAATCTCACCAGGTTCACTCGTCAATGTGCCGTCGTTCTTGCGAACTTCGGTAATTGACTTGTTCCTCTGTTGAGTTTTTTCCAAACTGTACAAAAATTTTGAAGGCTTTTCTCCTTCTTCAATTAGTTTTTGCTTTGTGCGAATAAACGCTCCTGGGAAATGGAGCAAGAAAAGAGCATCGCGTTTTTCTTTGATGCTATCTAAATTCGGGTTGGCATTTTGTTGTTCCCGCCGGATTTCGTTTTCAATCCTTTTGATTTGTTTTTTGTTTTTCGCACTTTCCTGAATAGATATATGTTGTAATTCTACCCTAACAAAATGTTTGCAGTTGTCCCACCATTTTAAAATTGAGTTGTAGGACCGTTTTTTAGTTTGCCAATCTTTAATTGAGAGTTCAATTTTTTGCCTATACACTTCTATTTCCAAAAGAGAACAGTTTAATTTCCAGTATCCTGGTCCTCTCCTAGTTTTACTAAAACTGACGGTTGTTGTTACGAACTCGTGGTCGGAGAAGTGGTTGGTGAGAATTTTTGTATATGTTGTTTTTTTTGCAATTTTTTCAGGGCAGTAGATTCGATCGAGTCTACATTTTGCCTTCTAATTTCGCCATGTGAACTCTTAAAATACAGATTAAATTACAGTTACTCTTGTTAGAATACTAAACATTTAACAGTCCATCGACTATGTCTTCTTTAAATGTCAGCATAATATTTTTTTAACTTTCATAGTTACTGCTTTACTATTGGTGTCAAGTTCTTAAATCCTTTCTGCTGCATTAATAGATTATCAGTCCTTATAACTCTTATTTATAGGATTTAAGTCCTATTATTATTGATTTTAGTCCTAATAAGTCCTTTTATTAAGTTCTATTAACTGTTATTTAAGCGACCAGAATTTTTAACTTTTACATTTACAACATAGTTACAAAGGGTATCAATTAATTATGCTAATTTAAATATCTTTCTACAAGCATAGCTAATTCATTTGTGCTTTCCGTCTACTTTTGGAACTTCTTAAATAATTTATGTTTAAAAATTTCACTGGCTAATTATTGTTATGAGTGCTTTGTAAAAAATTTGTTCAAATGAAGATTCAAATAAATTGATTGCCATAGGCATGTTAACTCTGAGAATATAAAATAGTGAGATTTGTTCCAGTTATACAAACTTATGAATGACATTGACGAAGTAAATATTGGAAAATGTTTTTATTGTTTATATTGTTTTAGGATTCTGAGAGCTGGAATTATGTTAAAAATGTTTAAAATTATGTTAAAAATGTTTAAAACTCTTAAAGCTGCAATTAAGTCAAAAAAGAAATGCTCTCTCTAAATAAAAGGGAGCATTTCCTTTTTAACAAAATTTTAGATGCGTGGAATTCAGTTTCAATTAAAGGTGTAACAGCTAAAACAGCTTTTAATTAATAGCTGAGTAGCAATCAAACTTAACTGCTAAAAATATATTTATTGCAAAATAATACATTCACTGGGTCTGTCTAACACCTCATAAATTACTACTACTATTACTACTAATATGTACTTAGTTAACACGTTCATATTAGTATTTTAAATATGTTATTTAGTTATAAATTGTAAATATAGGTCAATGAAGCAGGTGATGGTGCTTGATTTTTTGTTTCTGTCATTTTTTCATTATAAAATATCTGTTTTTATTCTGTTTTTTATTCTGTCAATATCAAAAATAATGTCATTTTTAATCATTAATAATGTTATTTATAATCTTAAATACAGATGTCTTTTTTTAAATAAGTACTAAAGTAGCTATTAAAAAAGATACTAAATTAACTGTAGGACAGATAGAGTGTTTTTGAATAAGAATAGGCGATGTGGCATATTATCAATATATTCTGCAACATATTCGTATTAAAACGAAGCCATCAATAACAAATATTTTACTCGTTAATTTTATTACATTAAATGTAATTTAGTTTTTAATTCTTTTAAAATTGCAGCTAACGATAAAACAAGTTTAAAGTTTTATTTACTTGGTCTTTACCATTTTATTAATATTTTTTCGCATATCTTTCAGCCATCTTGTAATGATAAGACGTTTACTTGTAAGACGTTTTCCGGCTAAGTATGAATGTTAAAGAAATTGTATTTCACATCATAGCATGACAAACTCTTGATATCATAGTGATATCATAATATGAGTTTATAAATCAAAACTTACTATTTGGACATTAAAAGAGAAAAACTTAACTTTTACTGTGCTTTGTAACTATTATATGAAATTCTCCAATAAATTAATTTTATTTCTCAAAGTTATGATCACTATAATATCATAATGATATCATTATATGATATCATAGCTTGAGAAGGTTTTTATATCATTTTGATAACACATTGATATCGCGTCTTTACTGGGATTGCTTTAAATTACAATAAAGATGGCAAAAGAAATCGTTATAAAACTTTTTTTTGCATAAAAATAGCAATGAATACTTTTACAATAATATTGTTATTTTACTTTTTTATTAAGACTTTTTAGAAATATTTTGCCGTAAAATTTACATCAAGATTTAATCGGGCACGGTACCTATTTTAACCAATTTAGAGTGTGTTAGTAATAAATAGCGAAAAACATAAATTGTTAGGCTCTTCACATATAAATCTGTGCTATTAAAGATAGCATGTTGAAGTTTTAGAAAATTTCAAATAAACACAATAAACAGAAAATTTCAAATAAACACAATAAACAACAAGTGTTTTTTACGATTACGTAAAAAATATTAACTCAAAAAATTTTTGAATGTAGTACTTTTAAAATATTTTCATCAAAAAATAAGGATGAAAAAAAACTTTTTTTCAGATGGTTTTTTTAAATCTTTGAAGTCTGCTGCTTAACATTCTCCAATTAAATTTATGTTTATTGTCTAAGAGATATGGTAGAGGCTCGTCTCACCTAAGGGACCAGTTTTAAATCACATTACCCTAACTATTAGAATTAATTTTTTTAATGAAAACCACCGTAAAACAAGAGCAGTTTAATAAAGCCCTTTCCAGCTTTATTGGCAATATCTAGTTTGTATAATAAGTCAACAAGTATTACAGACTTGATTTATATTATTCCCATTTAAATTAAAAAGAATAAAAAAACTGAAATCATCATTAATAGTAACTGATATAAGAGTTGAATATATATCAAACAACGTTTCAGTTAAACATTATAAGTTTTAAATTTTCAGGGAAAATCTGATCCATTGCATCATCTTTTAATTATACAAACAAGTATATATGTATAATTATACAATAAATAAGTATTTTGTATAACTAAGTGGTTATATATATATATATATATATATATATATATATATATATATATATATATATATATATATATATATATATATATATATATATATATATATATATATATATATATATATTTATATATATATATATATATATATTTATATATATATATTTATATATATATATATATATATATATATATATATATATATATATTATATATATATATATATATATATATATATATATATATATATATATATATATATATATATATATATATATATATATATATATATATATATATATATATAACAAATCATTACATCAAATTAATGTAATAATCACAAAATTAAACAACACTTTTGCTGTTTTTTTAAAATATCTAAACAGCTTGCGATACAAGATTTTGTTTTCATTGTATCTGGATTGTTGATACCTAAAAGTTCTGTTTGTATTTTATCAACTGTATAATAAATTTGTAGCGCTTCGCTATATTTTCCCAAATCTTTCAAACAGGTTGCAAAAGTAAGTTTTATTTCCATTATATATGGATGGTTAATACTTAAAGTTTCAGTTAGTATTTTATCAACAGAATAAAATATCTCTAAACCTTCGTTACATTTTCCCATACGTATCAAAGAGATTGCATATTTAAGTTTTGTTTTCATAACATTCAGATGGTTGCTACCTAAAACTTCAGTTTGCATTTTTTCAACTGAATTATAAATTTCAAAACTTTTCTTATATTTTTTTAATATAAACAAACAGTTTGCGATTTTAAGTTTTATTTTCAATGTGTCTTGATGGCTGATACCTAAAAATTCAACTCGTATTCTGTCAACAGATTTATATATTTCTAAAGCTTCTTTATATTTGTTCATATTATATAAACATTTTGCAATTTCATCTTTAGTTTGCAATGTATCTCGATGGTCATAACCTAAAAAATCATTTTGAATTTTGTCAATGGAATAATAAATTTTTAAAGCTTCGTTGTATTTTCCCATAGCAATTAAACAGTTTGCGATATTATGTTTTGTTTTCAATGTATCTCGATGGTTGTCACCAAAATTTTCGGTTCTTGTTCTGTCGATAGATATATACAATTCTAAAGCTTCGTTAAATTTATTCATTTTGCATAAACATTGTGCAATAAAATGTTTTGTTTCCATTGTAAGTGGATGGTTAATACTTAAAATTTTAGTTTGTGTTTTATAAACATAATAAAAAATCTCCAAAGCATCGTAATATTCACCTATAGTCTGCAAACAAAATGCATTACAAATTTTTGTATGTAGAGTATTTGGATGGTTGATACCTAAAATTTCAGTTTGAATTTTATCAACTGAATTAAAAATTTCTAAAGCTTCGTTATATTTTCCCGAAAAAGCCAAACAGATTGCGATTTCATTTTTTGTTTTCAATGTATCTCGATGGTTGATACCCAAAATTTCAATTCGTATTTTTTCAACAGATATATATATTTCTAAAGCTTCTCTATATCTGTTCATATGCCATAAACAATTTGCAATATTATCTTTTGTTTTCAATGTATCACGATGGTTGATACCTAAAAAATCAATTTGTATTTTGTCAAGTGAATAATAAATTTCTAAAGCTTCGTTATATTTTCCCATATTAATCAAACAGTTTGCAATATTATGTTTTGTTTTCAATGTATCTCGATGGTTGTCACCAAAATTTTCGGTTCTTGTTCTGTCAATAGATATATATAATTCTAAAGCTTCGTTAAATTTATTCATTTTGCATAAACATTGTGCAATAAAATGTTTTGTTTCCATTGTAATTGGATGGTTGATACTTAAAATTTCAGTTTGTATTTTATCAACATAATAAAAAATCTCCAAAGCATCGTTATATTTACCTATAGTCTGCAAACACATTGCATATGAAATTTTTGTTTTTAGAGAATTTGGATGGTTGATACCAAATATTTCACTTTGAATTTTATCAACTGAATTATAAATTTCTAAAGCTTCGTTATCTTTTCCCGAAAAAGCCAAACATATTGCGATTTTATGTTTTGTTTCCAATGTATCTTGATGGTTGATACCTAAAAGTTCAATTCGTATTTTTTCAACAGATATATATATTTCTAAAGCTTCTCTATATCTGTTCATATGGCATAAACAATTTGCAATATTATCTTTTGTTTTCAATGTATCGCGATGTTTGATACCTAAAAAATCAATTTGTATTTTGTCAAGTGAATAATAAATTTCTAAAGCTTCGTTATATTTTCCCATATTAATCAAACAGTTTGCAATATTATGTTTTGTTTTCAATGTATCTCGATGGTTGTCACCAAAATTTTCGGTTCTTGTTCTGTCAATAGATATATATAATTCTAAAGCTTCGTTAAATTTATTCATTTCGCATAAACATTGTGCAATAAAATGTTTTGTTTCCATTGTAATTGGATGGTTGATACTTAAAATTTCAGTTTGTGTTTTATCAACATGATAAAAAATCTCCAAAGCATCGTTATATTTACCTATAGTCTGCAAACACATTGCATATGAAATTTTTGTTTTTAGAGTATTTGGATGGTTGATACCAAATATTTCAGTTTGAATTTTATCAACTGAATTATAAATTTCTAAAGCTTCGTTATCTTTTCCCGAAAAAGCCAAACATATTGCGATTTTATGTTTTGTTTCCAATGTATCTCGATGGTTGATACCTAAAATTTCAATTCGTATTTTGTCAACAGATATATATATTTCTAAAGCTTCTCTATATCTGCTCATATGGCATAAACAATTTGCAATATTATCTTTTGTTTTCAATGTATCGCAATGATTGATACCTAAAAAATCAATTTGTATTTTGTCAAGTGAATAATAAATTTCTAAAGCTTCGTTATATTTTCCCATATTAATCAAACAGTTTGCAATATTATGTTTTGTTTTCAATGTGTCTCGATGGTTGTCACCAAAATTTTTGGTTCTTGTTCTGTCAACAAATATATATATCTCTAAAGCTTCGTTAAATTTTTTCATATCGCATAAGCATTGTGCAATACAGTGTTTTGTTTCCATTGTAATTGGATGGTTAATACTTAAAATTTCAGTTTGTATTTTATCAACATAATAAAAAATCTCCAAAGCATCGTTATATTTACCTATACCCTGCAAACATATTGCTTTACAAATTTTTGTTTTCATAGTATTTGGATGGCTGATACCTAAAAAATCAGTTTGTATTTTGTCAAGTGAATAATAAATTTCTAATGCTTCGTTAAATTTCCTTATAGCAACCAAACAGTTTGCGATTTTATGTTTTGTTTCCAATGTATCTTGATGGTTGATACCTAAATATTGAATTCGTATTCTGTCAACAGATTCATATATTTCTAAAGCTTCTTTATATCTGTTCATATAGCATAAACAATTTGCAATATTATCTTTTGTTTGCAATGTATCGCAATGGTTGATACCTAAAATATCAGTTTGTATTTTTTCAAGTGAATAAAAAATTTTTAAGGCTTTGTTATAATTTCCCATACAGTTCAAACAGATTGCGATACCAAGTTTTGTTGCCATTGTATATGAATGGTTAATACCGAAAAATTCAGTTTGTATTTTATCAACAGAATAATAAATTTCTAAAGCTTCATTATATTTTCCCATATCAATCAAACAGTTTGCGATACTAAGTTTTGTCGTCATTGTATTTGGATGGTTGATACCAAATGTTTTGGTTTGTATTTTATCAACAGAATAATATTTTTCTAAAGCTTCGTTATATTTTCCCATATTGAATAAATATTTTGCAATACAACATTTTGTAACCATTGAACTTGGATGGTTGATACCTAAAATTTCATTTTGTATTTTGTCAACAGAATAGTAAATCTGTAAAGCTTCGTTATATTTTCCCATATAGTACAAACAATTTGCAATACAACGTTTTGTAGCCATTGTACTTGGATGGTTGATACCTAAATATTCAGTTTGTATTTGGTTAACAGAATAATAAATATCTAAAGTTTCGTTATATTTTCCCAATTCGTATAAACATTTTGCAATCAAATGTTTCGTTCTTATTGTATTTGGATGGTTGTTGCCTAAAGCTTCTGTTTGAATTTTTTCTACTGAATAATAAATTTCTAAAGCATCGTTACATTTTCCCATATAGTTTAAACAGATTGCAATACAAAGTTTAGTTTTTAACGAATTTGGATGGTTGATACCTAAAATTTCAGTTTGCATTTTATCAACACAATAATATTTCACTAAAGCTTCGTTGTATTTACCCATTTTATTCAAACAGTTTGCGATACAATGTTTTGTCCTCATTGTATTTGGATGGTTAATACCTAAAGTTTCAGTTTGTATTTTATCAACTGAATAATAAATTTCTAAAGCTTCGTTATATTTCCCCATATAATTTAAACAGTTTGCAATACAATGCTTTGTTCTTATTGTATTTGGATGGTTGATACCAAAACTTTCATATCTTATTTTATTAACTGAATAATAAATTTCTAAAGCTTCGTTATATTTTTCCATATTGCACAAAAAGTTTGCGATGAAACATTTTGTTCTTATTGTATTTGGATGGTTGATACCTAAAATTTCAGTTTGAATTTTATCAAGTGAATAATAAATTTCTATAGCTTCGTTATACTTTCCCATATAGTCCAAACATACTGCGATACCAAGTTTTGTTGCCATTGTATTTGGATGGCTGATACCTAAAGTTTTAGTTTGTATTTTATCAACGAAATGATATATTTCTAAAGCTTCGTTAAATTTTCCCATTTCAATCAAACAGTTTGCCATAAAATGTTTTGTCTTCATTGTATTTGGATGGTTGATACCTAAAATTTCAGTTCGTACTTTATCAATAGAATAGTAATTTTCTAAGGCTTCCTTATATTTTCCCATATTGCACAAACAGTTTGCGATGCAATGTTTTGTTTCCATTGTAATTGGATGGTTGATGGTTTCATTTTATCTATATGTTTCGTTGTTGTTACGAAACATATAGATAAAATGAAAAACAAAATGGTTTCCGTAATCCATGTGATCTTTAACTTCTTTCAATTCAAATTTAAAATAATTTTCTATTTGGTCAAGGTACGTATTTTTACTCAAATTTCGATTTTGAAAACATATGCAGGTCAACTGCGTCAGTTCATGCATAGAATATTTTTCATGATCAAAGCAGTTTAGTAAAGAATAACTCATTAATAATCCAATGGCTTCATCTATTAAATATTCTTCGCTTATTTGCATGTGATTTGAGATTTGGATTATAAACTGTTTACTGATGTTTTGACTGTCGCAGTGAGACAAACAGTTTAATATCTGAAACGGCAAAGGTTTACTTTTTTCTAATTTTGTTAAAACCAAGTTAATTGCTTTTATTGCCGACTTTGATTCTTCTTCGGTTGGAAAGTTGTTATTGTCTAATATTTCTGATGGATTTGATTTATACCATTCTAAGTATTTTTCAATTGAAGTTTTGTGTATGTTTATATATTTTATTGCTTGTGTAATAGCAAATGGATGATAACCGAGTTCTTTAATTAAGTTTTTAATTTTTTCATCGGTGTTTTCTATAATACTATTTTTAACATATGTGAATGCTTCTTTACAAGAAAAAACATCAACATGGATTTTATTTACATTATTTGACCAGGTTCTCCATTGAGAGGTTATCAACGTAAATGAATTCGGTTTTCTCGAAATGTACATTGCTAAATTTTTAACACTTTCGTCGTCGACATTGTCAAAAATATACAACGTCTTTTTATTTTTATAGTAGTTATGAATTTTTTCAACGACCACTTCCATATTTAAATAATCACCATTTGAATCACGAACTTCAAATCCTAATATTTGACATTGGTTTCTCATTGAAGTTTGTAACTTTCCATATGCTGCATCTATCCAAACAAAGTTTTTATAAAATTTATAATAAATTTCACAAAATTTTCTTGCAATTTGTGTCTTTCCAACACCTGACATACCACATAAAACTATAGCTGACTTGTTTGCATCTTGTAAAAAATAACGTTGAATTTCTCGGAGTAGTTCTTCGCGTGATACTAAATTTTCTGAGTAAGGTTGAACAACTAACATAAACGTAAAATTAGTTAAGTTATGAAAACACTTTTCATTAATTGAATAAAAAATTACTTTTTTTATTTTCTTATCATTTTTATTATTTTATTATTTATTTTTGATAGCGTGAATTATGTTTTTATTATAGCTTGTGTTATATTTTTTATTTTTTATTTTTTTATTATTTAGATTACGCTACGCGTAATTTAAACATTTGTCATTTCATAAAATTATTATTTTTTTACATTACTTAAATTATACTTTTTTTAAGGCAAACAAAAACTAATAAAAAAACATGATTATAAACTTTATAGGTTAAACGTCAAATTTATAAATGTATATATTTATATTATTATTTATTACCATTTTTAGTTATATGTGTTTGGTCACAGGTTACTGTTTTTGTCAATATATGAAACTAAAGCAATATATGAAACTAAATACTTAAAAACTATTTCTCGATTAACCTTCAGACCACATTTTATAAATTCTTATAAATTGAAGAGCGAACAACTGATGCATTCGAACTGTCTAATCATTTCTACTCAATCTTTTTTGTTGTTTTGATGTTAAAATTATATTAAGTTTTGAACGTCATCTTTTTCACTAAAGTTCAATGTATTTTTTGCAGTAAAACTTACATTTTATTTAAATAATCTAATTTAAACATCGTCTGAACATCGACAAATGTCGATTATTGTCGTTAATTTTACACTACTATTCCACCAGTTCTTTATGTTATAGCAAGTATTCGCGTTAATTTTTAGTCGTTTTTTAAACATTTATATAAGACCAACGTTTAGATGGAAGATTTAAGATATTTTTTACAGATGGCAGATATTAGGTGTTGCAAGCTTAGCAATTGCTGCAGTCAGTGGTTTAAGCTTAAAACTTTTATATTTTTAAGTTATTTAATGCAAAGTAGTAGAATAATATAAACAAAATATTGGTTTTAGTTAAGCTGTGGTGTTCTAAAATAAAAGCTAAGTTGACTTAACAAAGATTTAATTTTACGACATTAATTTGATTGAACAATTAAACCGTATTCATTAAAAAGGAAAATGCTTTACATGAAAACCCATGTTTTTATAGGATTTTGTCTCACTTGCTTACAAATTTTTGTTAAAATGACAAGCATTTCAAACGGTATTAAACTAAACTTTATTGGAAGTTAAATAAACTGGCAACTGTATCAACAATAGCAAAAGCCCGTTAGTTATATTTTGAACAACTTTAAACTTATCTCTGAATAATACTCTAGTATCTCACGAGTAAGATCTGTTTTTCCACTTTTTAAAAGTTTCAAGGTTTAGATATTTTTATGATACTCTAAGACTATGCAACTTAAGTTTAACAACTATACTGTTATTAAGTTTTATAGTTATTTAAAACAAAGGCATCTTTGAACGAACAACTGATGTCTAATGATTAATGGATAAAAAGCACATTTGTCCAAGTTCTAAATCAAAACTAAAATCATATAATTGTCACATAACTAACTTTTCCCTTAAAAAAATATGCAAAAAGTTCAAAAAAACCTTGCGGGGCGTCATCATTTTTCAGCCAACTTTTGACCCCATTACCCCTTTTTCACCGCTTGTTCTTTTTCCCTATACCCCTTGAAAAGGACGTCATAAAAATCTGCCTCTCTGCATTAATTTAAACCCCCGAAGAAAATATTTCATTTCGCAATGATGTTTGAATCTGCTGCTACACCTTTGAAAAATAAAGTTAAAAATATTCTTATACATTATCTTCTTAAAAACAAATATTTTCATGTTAATTAAACTAAAATAAAAAATCTATAAAGTGACATCCTTTTCTAACAAACTCCAAACCCCCACCCCCTCCTCCTTATTCTTTTTGTCCTTTTTATGTCGAACCCCTCCCCCTCCCTATTTGGATGACGCCCTTTATGAATGGCACCTTTTGCCTTTATTAGAATATATCCCATAAAAATATATTTCATATATCTTTAATAGATAGAGTTTTTATAGAAAATTGAAATAAAATCTTATTTCTATGACGATCATTTATAATGGTCTAGGATGCAGATGACATAACTTTAGAAATCAGAAATTATCGAGAGAGGAGCAAATCCGAGTTTTTAAATTTTCCACTCGACAATATGTTTCGTGTTTTTTTAATCTTGTCAATTTTTTTGAATATAATAACATAACTACAAAAAATCAAAATAAAACAGCTTGAGCAAAAAAACTACCAATTATTAGAAAAGTCTACTTATATCACATACGATCCTGAATAAAACGTTATATAAGTAGATTTTTTACATTTTATAAACAATATATATAAATAGAATATATGTTTACATGTACATTGTTTATATAGAGATGGTTAAGCGCAACAAAGTTTAAAAAAAAAAAATGGTTTATATTAAAATAAAAAAATGGTTTATATAGCGTTTCTTTGGAAAAACACTATAATAAAAATTTTAAGTGCTATAATAAAATTTTGAACTGCAATTACTATATTCACTAAAATAAAAATTTTTACTATAATAAAATTTTTAATTGTTTTCAATTTTTTTGGTTTAGTGGCTTTTGCTTATAACGTATTCGAAATACGTTATAAGCATATTAAGGGGTTTTGAAAAACAGCTGCAGCATATATTTATAGTAAAAAAATAAATTTAGCAAAAAAAGCTTTTTATTGTCAAAAGAAAGTTTTGAATTGCAAACTGCTTTTTCCTCATGTTTACAAGTAGAAACTAATTAAACAACGCCTTCGAAGGTATCGTTTTTTCAGTTTGGTTAGCAAGTGCATGATCATGCACTTGCTAAGCAAACTGAAAAAATAAACCATTGATCCAGCAGAAGTAATGTTAACGAACTTTTTAAATAAGCAGTTTTTTTCTGTCTTTTTAAAAGAATTTTTTTAATTTTGCTCCATATTTTGAGCCCAGCACCGCTTTTTATGCAAATATTGATGAAAATATTTTTCCAATAGCAACAATAGAAACTCAGCTGAAAAAGCTAAATAATTGTAAAACTGAAGGAATATATAAACTTTATTTTCATATGCTAAATGAAACGCACTCTTCGATTTCCACTTTCAAGTTCTAATCTAAATTGTTAAATGATAGCTTATATTACACCTTACTACAAAAAAGTTAAAAAACACTAACCCTTTTCTATACAAAGTGATTTAAAACTTGTTAAAGATGCGATTTTTAAACACTTCCAAATAACTATTTAGACGAAAACCAACATGACTTTTCCCCTAATAAGTCTTTATTTACTTATGCTATGAAATCGCGTAGCTATTATTGGTATACGTTTTAACAATGCTGTAGTTTTTTTGTTTGATTTACCAAACTGGTCAATCGCTATTTTTTAAAACTTTCGTGTTTATGGCTTCAAAGAGCATATCTCCGATGGATAAATACAATTCTCCTCAACCTAAACCAGCAAGTAAATTTCCGAAAATTAGATTTTTATTAGCTGTACGTCCTCCTTAGTAAAATATCTCAGCGTTTATGTATGTACCACTGCTGTTCCTTACTTTTATTTAAGACATTATTCTTGTATACGCTTAGCCATGATTAATTAACATGGTTTTATTGTTCAAAATTGTTTTCTGTTTGTTCATACATTTTGTGACATCTGTGTATGAGAAAGTACAATTTTTTTTTTTTTTTTGCATCAATGCAAAAATGCATTATGTACAAAATGCATTTTGTATATAATTGATGAATTATCAAATATTTACTGACACTGAGGACTGTTTTAACCTATTTATGAAATCTTAAAGATTGTTTGATAAAGTTTTCACTTTTTTCAATTTAAATTATTATCAATTTTTTATTTAATATTTTAGCTATTTATTCTATCTATAAACGTGGTTACGAAAAAATAACATTAAATCAGAAAAAACGACCGTAAAAAGCCTCACTTTCAAAAAAACTTCTATAAAACGTAAACTATTGTATTTAGATTAAAAATATAACTTTAATTGTATATAAAAATTATTATTTTTGCAATATACTTTAAAAATATACAGCTTTTTCCTAAAAATAAAGATATCATCAAAAGTTTAATAATTGAGAATCTCAAAGTAAAAAATATGACTGTTTCTTTCCGTGAAGTCTTTATATATGAATATATACACACGGACATAAACACACATATAAACACTCACACACAAACACGGTAGAAACTATCACTTTAATAAAAAAGTTAAAAAAAAGAAAAGGTTTTCTCAACAGTAGCATCTCCTGGACTCGGGAAGGCAAATATATGCTTAAAAAATCTATTATACATATGACAAAACCAATATACACCTATATTTACACACGACAAAACTAATATATACCTACATATAGACATGATCGAAATTATAAGGGCCACACAAATACCAAAAAGATTTTGCTACGAGTTTAAAGTTAAAGCAAAAATATCCTTTATCATTTAAACTATATACAACTACGATAAGTATAATGACTATAATAAACAAACAAAATTTAACTAATCTAAAAAAAATTTCCAACTAAATATAACTATTTACATTTTTAGCAAATAAGTATATAATATATTAACTATTAGAGTTGACCATTTTCTTTTTTAATTATGTCATTTCTACAGTGATCATAAAATAAAAAGCTCAATCAAAGTCGGGGGGTTGATAACGCTGTGAATTTACTTTGGCTGGTATAAGCGGTAGTGCTCTTTTTTTAGGTGGCACATCTTTTATATAGAAAGCAGAATTATCTATATATCTCGCTGACCATTTATCATCGTAATCGTTTGAGACATCGAGTAAGCTCACTTTTTTAAGTGGTGGTACAAATGCACCATGATATCGTCTAAAAAATAAAAATAGAGTTAAGTTTTAGATATTTTTTTAAAGATATATAATATATTAAAAAATAATATATTAAAAAATAATATATTAAAAAACAATATATTAAAAACAATATAGTGAAAAACAATATAGTAAAAAAATATTTAGTTTCTAGGGAATAAACTTCTTACTTCGGTCCTTTTAATTTGTTATAGAAGAGAGCGTTCATCCAATTGGTAAGATGGATAACATCGTCTAAGAATGTCACACATCAAACCAAGTTTCAAAAAATTTTTATTTTATATGTTAATGTTTACCTTTACATCATATTTATTAGTTTAAATATTGTTTATTCCAATATATAATCAATAAAGTAATAGATGGTTTTAATGGCTGTGGTTGCTTTTTCAACCAGAAAATTTTTGATTTCACCTTAATTAGAGATGAAATACTTCTAAATTACAAGGTTGATGACGCCAGTGGAGACAAGGGGTGCCTATGCCCACCCCACACCTCCACTTTTTTTTAAAAAGACTAATTTTTAAAAAAATTGACCTTTTTGCCCCTCCACTTCAAAAACTGTGCCTTCGGCCCTGAATTAATACAGACGACAGAACTTATAATTTATTTTATTATATTCTTTTTGACAACTTTAATGCTAAAGTTCAACAAAATATTTCATTTTACAATCAATTTAATTTTCGGGCGTTAAGTTTTTTAACTATAAATAAAAATGTATTTTTTGTTTATAAACAAATGAAATTAATTTTTGTAATTACAGTAATGTAAAGTAATGTAAATTAATGTAGATTTAATTACAGTAATAGTGGAGAAGAAGAACTTTTATTTACATATTTATTTAAGACTTATTTAAGACTTCTTATTTATTTATTTTTAATAAACCTTATTCTCTTAACTAAAATTTTTAATAAATTTTTTTACACTACACTTTTAAAAAACGTTGGACTTTGTTCGCCATGTTTTCTAAGCACAATAATATTTCACAACTAATTAAAGTAAATTAGATTAAAGATACATAGGACACACCAAGTCTAGTTGGCTACAGATGTCAACACAGTGTGTTTCAAGACTTCCAAATATGTCTTTTAAATTTTGTCTTTTCTTTGACTTTTTTTACTTTTTAAAACTGTTCGTTTATTTGCTGACTAATAAAAAAGCACGATGTTTAGTTTTTTGAACTTCCTACTAGTTTTCTGTAGAAATGATTCTGGTACTTAAGGAACATCTTGATTCGATTGGAAATTCTATGTGACAGGATTGGTTGAAACTTGAATAAATGAATTTGTTGAAGTAGAAGACAAACAACTAAAATATTTTTCTCTTAGTATGTTTAACTGTTGTTATGTAATAAGCAAATTTAAAGTGGAATCTCCATCATTCATTTGTTGCAATCTCCATCATTCATTTGGTCTCAAATGTTTTTCGTTTTAAAACTAAGCTCAAAACACAGTAGAATATTTTTGTATCAATAGATTCAGTCAGTTCTATTGATTTTTTTTTTTTTAAATGGTTAAAAGTAAGACAGTAAATTCTTTAAACTTATTATTAATAGATGATTTGTAACTGTGATGAATCATTTAGATGGTTTGGATAAATCATTTGTAACTGTGATGAATCATTTGGATGGTTTGGATAAATCATTTGTAATTGTGATGAATCATTTTTTATTAATGCTACATTGTTACATTGTAGTTGTATATATTTTACAACTACAATGTAACAAGTAATCATTCAAAATAACTACATAAAATAAGTATACATAGTTGATATCTAAAAAACAGTCCTACTCTACCTCAATAATTAAAGTAAAATAATATAAAAAAATAAACCTCCAATAAAGATATCTCTATTTTATTACAATTAAAGTATTTTGTAATATACTGTAAGTTTTAGCATCTTGTGAAATGTTTTAAGAAGTATTAATTCATTAACCTTTTTTTAAATATTATATTTTTTTAAAAGAGAAAAAAATTAAAATTACTTATACATGGTTTTAGGAAGCTAGCAGAAGGCTGATTTCAGTCTTCTGCTAGCTTATGAAATTAGTGTTGTCAGCAAGTACCTTTATACAAGATTTGTCTTACACGTAAACAAATCTGTTCACTTTGTAATTGATTTAAATATCATTGGGAAAGTTATTTTTAAAAATTTCTTTTTTTAAATTTAATTATTATATTTTTTAATTTTGTTTTTAGAAAGTTTACATTATTCAAATTTATTAGTGTTTTAAACATAAAAAGTATTTTGGTAAATATTTAATGCTTTAATTTGTTCCAGTACTGGTTGAGCATAAGTAAATTTGTCTTTTTTGCACAATAGTATTGAGGCATGTTTTTGAGGTAAATATAAATTAAAAATTTGATATTCAGAACTCTTTCAATAGTTATGTTATCTATATTAATTGTTAGAGAAATTAGGGGTATTTGTTTGTTGATTGGATTGAAATTTTTTGATTGTTGTTGTGGAGTAGAATAAGTTTATATCATCAGTTTTAAAGCTGAAGGTAGTTAACATAAATTAACATAAATTAACATAAATTAGAAACAAAAGGGGAGCACAAACAGAACTTTAAAGCATACCTATTTTTGATTAAGTTTGAGTTGTTATTAATTTTTAATTTTTTTAAATGTTAAATGAATAGCTAAGATCTGCTTGTAAAATCAATGATTTGCTATGCTGAGTGTCGCTTTTGAAAACAGTATAATATTGTTTTCAAAAGCGACACAAGCAAAATTATTAATAAAGTCCATTTTAAATTATTAGTAAGTTCTTATATTATTAGAACTTATTAATAAATTTGTTAGTATATAAGTATTTATATATTCTATTGTAAACTAGTCTATCAAGAAGTTTTGAAAATACATAAAGAATTGAGGATTGAGTTATTTAGAGAGTTTTTGCTGATTTGTATATTAATACAGTTTTAACATTTTTCTGAAACTTGTTTTAAGTGATGAATTGAAAATTTGGAAAATAGGGCTATATATCTTATACCATCTAATACTACTTTACAAGTTGTGTTATCAATACCTGGGGATTTGATACATGTTGAGAGATTTGATAGCTATTTCATTTGTTTAATTTGCTGAAGTTTAAGTAGCAGCAATAAATTGATAAGTAACTTTCAAGTTAATTTTTTAGGTATTGAATTCTAGGTGTAAGATCAGTTGTTAAATTCATTAGAAAGACCGCTCTTTTTGCTTAAATCTTTTTTTATTAATGGTTATTCTAAAAAGTATTTTATCAGAAATAACTTTTTTTTTTAATTCTTTCATAAAACTTTATTTTCTAAATTTCTTGAAAGATTTTTTAGATTTGATTTTTATTTTTTTAAACCAAAAAACAAATTAGTTTTTTTTTTGTCAACCACACTTGTTGTCAACCACATAGTTGCTTAAAAAATAGAAAAGTCTGACATTTCTACAATTCTGTAGAAATCTTATTATGTGATTTTTTTTTTCAGTGTATTATTAAAAGAATAACTTATATGATTGCTGTGGTTAAAAATAAACATAATTTGTGGTTATTATAAAAAATAAACACGGGTTGATCAACTTGTTTTTCACTCATTTCATCTTCAATTTTTTTCAAGCAATTTAAAATATAACCTTTAGTTTGACATTCATTGTTTGTACCAAAATAAAATTTGCTTCAACATTTCAAACAAAATAAGCGCCATCTTACATCCTACTCTAAATTTTTATACAGTTTGTGGTTGAAACAATCAATTGACAGAAAAGTAATAAGTAACAGTGGTATTTACTCAACTAAATGTTAAAACTGCTTTTTTAGCAAAAACATTTTTAAATTCTAGATTTAGTTCAGACCTAGTTTTATCAAGATTTCTACAAGCACTTAACTTATTAGGTCCAAATAGTAAAAAATATTTAAATATTTAGACTAAATATTTGCTTTGCATAAAAAATGTCATAAATTAGAAAAAAAAAAAAATTCTTAGTTTGGCCTGTTGAAGCTTTGGCTGCTGTTCTAGTCAATATCTCTCAATGATTCTTAATGATTTTAGTATTCAAAATTACGCTGTCTCGTCTTTTTTTTTCAATCTATAATATACTCGGATACCCACTATTAAATTTAAGCAATGAATTGCCATTTTTTAGCATTCATATTTCAGCCACTGTTTTCATTAACTTCTTCTGTCTTATTTGATGACCAAATTTATAAGTTATCAGTCAATTATGGTGTATTGGTTTCTCATTGCTCTTTGCCATTACACTTCTAACTCCTCTTTTTCTCTTATATCTTATCATAATTTTTTTTAACATTAATAAGTGCTACTTTTAACGCCTTTATTTATTCAATATAATGAATATTTGCTTTTAAGTTTCTTAAATATATTAATTCGAGTGTTTTTTATTATTACATCAAAGTATAAACTTCAAAAATTTAGAAAAAGAGAATTTTATTTTTGACATGAAAGTTTAATTTAGACATAAGGGATCATCCATAAATTATGCAATACAAAATATATTTTAAAAACAGAAGTAGTAAATATTGATCTCTTTACGTTGTGATTTTCCTTAAACTTAATGAGCTATTTTGGGCTATTTAAATTAAGACTCTGTGAGGGTAAACTTTTGATGTTTTTGTTCTGTTTATTGTGAAAGTTTGCGTTATGCAGGACGAAGGTTGTCATAAGAAGTGCTTATTATGTGATTATTATAATTATATTATTAATAAAGTGCCTAATAAGAACTCTGAATTTAAGTCTGATAAATATGCTTAGTAAAGATTGGATATTTAATCTATTATTTATGCTCATAAAATAAAAAGCAAATTATGGGCTTTAAAAATTAAAAAATAACAAGTGGCACAATACTATAAATAAAAAATTTTTTCTGAATGGTTTTTCAAATATTATTTGGATACTGAATGGACTAAATCAATTAATAAATTAGGTAACTGCCAACAAGTTAGAGAATTAGGTATTCTGATTGGTTTGATTTTGGAAACACAGTTATAAATAAAATTGGTGCCATCATTTATTTTAAATTTTTTTTATACCTGTTTAGTAATTTTTTCTTCTGTTAATATTTTAAAAATTCGTTTTGCTGTTTTAAATACATTTCTCCGTTTTGTTGTTTTAAACACACTTCTCCGTTTTGAATAAAATATAACATATGGGTAAATATGAATAAAATATAACATATGGGTACGCATAATGCTTATATATGTTATATTTTACAACAAAGCCATACGCGCGTATAGCTTTGTAGTAATAATTTTTTAAATAATAAACAGATTTTTTATCACAATTACTAACACTTAAGAAAACAGTTTGTGAGTTTTAAAGTAATATGGTAAAAAAAAACTCTTAAATTAATACTTAAAACAAAGTTTTCCCTGCATATTTTAAGGGTATGATTTGCAAAAATTTTACAGTTTACTAAAATGGAATAAATTACTTACGTTCTGTAAACTCTCCAAAAATAAACCATCATGCACATTAATAAAATCAAACCACCAACACATCCAACTAATGAGAATATCAATGTTGATTTACTGAAATGCTCTCTGGGTCCGGAAGATGCCAACATACTTGAAACTTTAGAAATTAAAAAAAAAAAAACTTATTTCAGAAATTTAAGATCGTTCAAATAAATATTTGACTCAATAATTTGCTGATGGTGATTATTGACTAAAACTCTAGTTTTAATAGGTTAAATAAATATATTTAATTTAGATATTTAACATACCACAAAGTTTGCAAGAGGCAGCACATTTGCTAGCAGCATATTCTCGATCATCAGTACAAAAGCCAACTTGATTGTTAACTAAAACTTTACAATCTAATGAGTCATAGCAACCTATAATAAAATTAATAAAAAGTCAAAAAACTTAAAACCTTTAAAACTTAACTTATAAAAACTAGTACAGCAATAAACATAACATCATCACCATTTTGGAAGTCATAAAAACCTTTGTGACTTACAGGTTACATTACACCACATGGGTCAAAAAAATTTTTCTAGCTACATGGTTTCAGTTAAGTCCCAAGAATAAAGAGAGTCTTTTTTTTTATAATATCAAAATTTTCTACAACTATATAATTTTTCTTTTAAATGGTTTATATTATGAAAAATAACAACAACGACAACAACAACAACAACAACAACAAATTCATAATAAAAGTAGAGAAAAATAAATGACAAAATTCTATAATAGACTATATAACATCAACAAAAAAAACACTTACCCATTATCTAAATTTCATTAAAAACTCTATCATATATACAAAATATATGTATATTTATACATATATACAAGATATGAAAACAAAATTAACCTTATAAGTATAAGGTTAGAGATAGAGATTATAATTTAAAACGAGATTATAATATATATTTAAGAATATATACAATGTAAATATATTTGACAAAGTCAATGGCTGTAGCAAGTCTTGCTACAGTCATTAGGAAAAGGTGCCTTCCTCTTGCTAAGCAAGAGGAAGGCAAAAATTGACCTACCTACCGAGCCTCATTTAAAACGTAATTTATCATCGGAATTATACAAAAATGGCAATTGTCAAAAAAATAAATTTAAGTTTTATTTGCTAAAATGTTGAAAAAAGTTGTTAAAAAAAAGTGATCCCCGTAATTAAATAGAGTAAAAAAGATTTTTTACTCTATTGAGATATACAATAAAAGTGATCCCTGTTATCAAATAATGCAATTTTTGCCTCCCTCTTGCTACAGCTATTGACTTTGCCAAATATTTTTACATTGTATATATCCTTAAACACAAAATAAACTAAACTAAAACAAAATATTAGAATATAGTTTAAATTAAAGTTGTTTTTTGAAAACCTAGTAGGGTATTTATAGACTATATATACCCAGTGGCGGATTAAGACTTATTGGGGCCCGGGGCTATTATATATACCTAAAAAACACGAAATGAACTATTATTTGCATATCTTAAAAAAAGTTCACAAAATTGATTTTGACCATAAATTACGTAAAGCGAAATTAAACTTATAGACAATAGACAAAGTATTAAAAGTTTTCCATTGCAGTGTCTTTATTTAAACCAAAGTATATAAAAAGCCTTTCAAGTCCAGCGAAAACCGCCGCACAAAAGAGCAAACTGATCTCCTACTTATATTTTATAAATAAGTTTTTCGTTGCGTAATATATGGACGATCCCTATGTACTACTATGTATTCAAATGTATTTAGATTGTCATAGTCATTTAATACAATAAGTTTCATCTTAATAACAAATCAGACCGATTTGTTATTAAAATGCAATTTGTCTTTATTTTTGCTTGATGAATAAATTTCTTCCATTACTTTGATTGCGCGTTCTGAGCATTAATTACTTCTGGGTATTTGTAGTATGGATGGCTCTTACTTCCAGTGATTTTTCAAAGAGTTTAAAGGCTTTTTGCATGGATTCAGTATTTCAGCTAAGTTATTTAAGTCGTTTTTGTTGTTCAGTTGGTCTGTAAACCAATGGTCTGCCAACCCATACTCGCTGCATACTCGCTGCATGGGTGGCAGACCATTGGTCTGTAAACCAATGGTCTGCCACCCATACTGCCTACACCCATATTGCTGATGTTGGGTATTTTCTGAAACCTGATCAATGGAAAATGTCCCTTTGCCTCAAAAAAATCGGATCACTCGAGTGAGATAAAACAAAAATTTCATATTATCTCTCCAGCCTGGTGTTACGAGAATTACTTCTGTTCCGTTATCAAACTGTGTTTTCAGTTGTTCGTACTCCTTCAACAGTTGAGATGCAAATAGATATAATCGGTGCTTGGCAATTGTGTTTTAATTCCATTTCTTCATCCATCACCAAACGAATTGTATCTAATACATGGTGTTGACAACTGACAAACTAGGGTTTGTTCGTGTGTTTCTCTGTAAACATTCGTTGCAATATTACAACAATACCATTCTTTTTTCCAGTGTTAACGCCGTTGGTATCTACAACAGTTATCTGTATTGAATTCCATAGGTGAAATTTATTGAGGACTTTTGAAATTCCTTGAGCAATACTTAAAGCCTAAGGACTAATTAAGCCTAAGGAATAGTTAAAGCCTAATTTGAGTCTCTTCTTTCATCTTTAAGGACGACCACTTGATAATCCATTTTTTCGATATGCTTGCTATCAAAGTGTAAGGACCTTCTTTCCATATGCAACTTTTCAATCATTTCTTCTTTCAGCTTGATTGCCTCTTTGATTGTTGACTTGTAAATAGCTGTTTGACATAGAGTTGGGATGTCAATGCCTTTTTGAGCCAATTGCTTGCATATGTTAGCAGCTTGATTTATGACACAGGAAACTAATTTTTTAAAAAAAAAATTAAAAAGTCATAACCCATTGGGTATATATATACAAAACGACAAACCCCCTCCTCCCACTAATAGCGTGATTTTATGGACTACCCTTAAGCCATAGATTATGGCTTACTTTGTAAAACAAGGTTAAAGGCCGCGTGAATATTAAAGCAATTGCTTTAGTAATTGTTCAGCTTTACGTGAATAAAAGTTTCAGAGATTTTTTATTGATTTTTTATTCACGTAAAACTAACTAGTAAAAACGCTGAGTGAAAACAATACAACAAGACCTCTTTAAAGTTACATTTGTGCGCGCGCATATTTTCACAATATATACTCTTTAGGGATCATCCATAAATTACGCAACGCTAAATAAATATTAATATACTTAATTTTTATGTAAACTAATAAGTTTTAATTGATTAAAGATGCACTTTTATTTAAAATACTTATTTTAAAAAATTCGTTTAATACTTTAATTCATTGGTTTTAAAACTAGTATTTGTAAATGATCGAGTGGTATTGGATACGTTTGGAGGGTGGTTCTGGACAACTTAATCCGTTTACATACTTAAAATGAGCAACTTTTTTATATAAATGTTTGAACATTCTTTCATGCTTAAACATTCTTTTAACTATGTTTTTTTAAACTTTATTAAAATTTTTAGAACAACTTTTTTTTGTCCAAAAGTTTGTTCTAAGGAAATTCTTCAAGTTTGATTTGCATAAGGGATCGTCCATAATTACGCAACGCAAAATATATTTTAAAAGGAGATATTAAGCTCTTTTACGCTGCGATTTTCATTAAACTTAATAAACTGTTTCGATTTATTATTTAAACTAAGACTCTGCGAGGGAAAACTTTTGATCTATTTTATTTTGTTTATTGTGAAAGTTTGTGTTACGTAATTTATGGACGATCCCTAATTAGTAGTTGTTAGCAGGCGTGGATACAGGGGGGGGGGTAATGTAAGTAATGCATTACCCCCCACCAGACTTTAAATTTTTTTTTTACTCGAACGAGTGCGTTGTGGTAGTTTCAATCAAAAGGTTTTACAAATTTAATCAAATTAGCTGCCGTTTTGCACATGAGCTAAGTTCCGGTACTTATGTGTTGAATGGCCTTGTTTTAAAATCAAGAATAGGATCTTTTATGGTTGATGATCGTTTAAATGGTTGTGCCCTTAAGTAAATTCATACAGAAATTAATATTGACCTCTCCATGGATGTCAATGATTTTGTCTTGAGCACACGTAAATTGGATTTTGTGTTATAATATAGTGCCCTGTGTTTATGTACCTGCAGTCAACTGGTGTTTATAAGCTTGTTTATGAACTAAATGTAGTCTACTGTGTTTATGAACTTGTAGACTGTAGTCAACTGGTGTTAATTAACTTTCAACTGGTGTTAATGAACTTGTAAACTGGTGTTTATTAATTTGTAATCAATTGATATTAATAAACCTATTTTAAAATAATTTATATGCCTGTCTCACATAAGTTTTGTTCTGGGGGATACCTCATCCCAAACCCTCCCCTCAGTAAACCTCCAAGCATTACCCCCCACCACTGAATCATGGATCCTCCGCTGGTTGTTAGGTAGGTAGTAACTTTTAGTTGCTAGGCGGCTTTAAGAAATGTTAAGTAGTAGTAGGTAATGTAAGTTAAGATGAATTTTATTTTATCAACACGAATAATGAGTGAACGTGATGTATTTGTGAGCTTTTCGATAATTAATCAAACAGTGGTTTCATTTAAAAACAAAATTCTTCCTTACCAACAGCAACTTGTTTATCACTGGTCGGATTCTTGCACAAGTCTTCTATCAATTTTAAAGTGAAATGCGGACATATACATTTTGATCCATATAGAAGCCTAAGTTCCTCATCACACGGTTTTACTTCTAATTAAAATCATACATTTTAAAAAATATATTGTTACTTAAATAAAACACACATATTTTATTTAAGACTTACTCAACTTGTAGCAACAGATCTCTGTCTCATAATCCACCATTAAATTTGCCGTATATATTTTAGAGAGAGACTCAAAATATTGTTTCCAAATTGCTAAATGTACAATTTCAAACTTTCCAAACATAGCACGGTTGTTGTCTATTCCAATTTTAATGGTAGAGTATAAATCACCATTATTAATATGGTATTGTTCTACGTCACGTGAATTATTGGTAAAATATTTTAATTCGGCGTTGAAATAAAGATAAAGACCCAACTCTTTGCTCCAAGTGAATCCAAAGTGAAACCAATTCTTCGGAAAGCGAGGTATGTATAGTTCCCATATCTTTTCTTTTGTAGAAACTTCCAATTTAAAAAAACCAGTGGTATGATCTTTTTGAAGTCTAACTCCATAAGGAACTGCAGGATAGCCTAATAAAATTAAAATAAAAAATTGATTTAAAAAAAAGTTCTGTTTAAAAATTTAATTCCACTGCCTTATTTATAACTAATCAAACTTTTTACATAGTTTTTATAATTTTATTAAAAACCTGCGTAACCCCCTGAAGCAAAAATATAATCTCCGCTTGTAAAATTCATCCAAAAGCTAACAGTGAGACCATTTTTTTCACACTCCAGGTGTAAAATGCATTGGTCAGAAATATCTTTTATCTCAATCCAATCGTCGATTCCATCTAAAAATGAATAAGCTTTGCATTCAAAATTATGAATGTTGTTACCTACATTTTTACCTACGTTGTTACCTATATTTTTACCTACATTAAAAAGCATAACTAATTTAGAAATCTCGTGACACCTATTAACGTCAGTATGTTCGAGAGTCCCTGAATGTTGCTTAAAAATGTCATTAATTATATTTTAAAAAAATTATTATTAAAATAGTTTTAAATTAGCACTTTGACATTTAAAACGTTTTAAACATACCAAGTCGTATAGCAGAACCTAACGGTAGTGTTTTGACTTGTTGTATACCGTTATGTAACATTGGAAAATTTTTACCATTCTCACGTTCATATACAATGCTTTCGTTTAACGGCCAATAGTAGGTGGCATTTATAAGTGGACTCTCTATAATAAAAGTATTAAGAAAAATAAAAACGCATCATTATTACTTTTCAGTTTATTATAAACTGTTTTCTGAATAATCAGATTTTATGAAATAGTAAAATTGTTTCCTGTCGAGTAAAAAAATCTCTCAAGTAAAATAAAGCACTCTCAAGAAAAAGTACTCATTAAAAAGTTTTAAAATAAATATTCAGTAAATTAAGATTTGAATCACTTTTTTAAATATGTTATAACTTACGAACTTTATCCAAAATTGCAAAATTTGAACGTAGAAAGTATTCAAAAAAAACGAAAATTTTTACTAAATCTACATAAACCATCCTTGAAAAATTAGCATATATAAGGATGCTTTTTTTTCGTTTTTTTTTTTTTTAAATGATATCTTTGCCTAAGATCGCACGTAAGTTTAAGGGCTTTTAATTCAATCGTTTTATTTTTTCTGTTTGTACATTTACATATGTGAACCATCTGTTAAAAATTTCAAAATGTGTTGCCATCTCTTTACTTCTTTCTCTATTAAATCTTTAAATAAATATCCTTTATAGTATATACTAACCAGAACCTTGTTTAATGTGCAGTACTTTTAATGAAAATATGGAAAAAAAAATTATCGTACGTATGTGCGTGCGTGCATGCGTGTGTGTGAGTGTGTGTGTGTGTGTGTGTGTGTGTGTGAGTGTGTGTGAGTGTATGTATGTGTGTGTCTAATATATATAGAATATTAAAATTATATTACTATATAATAAACATTATGTAAAATGTAAACTATTATATTCATGTTTTCATTGATATATATTAGATAAATTAAGTGGTTCATGAAGGCAAGATCAAGCGGTTTTTCATGAGTATCTCTATAAATATATTTAAATAAACTCCTGAAATTATTGTCATGGTAAAAAATGATTAATATACTTAAATGTATAATACAAAAACACCTAATGGTAATAAAATCTCTTTTACGGTTATACGTTAAACGTTTTACGTAAAAGTTTTATAAACGTTATACGTAAAACTTAAAAATTAATTTTGTTCGTTTTTAACATCTGTTTAATAATCTTTTTAGTAGATTATTTCTAATAAAAAGATTTTAATGTTAAAGAAACAATATTATAAAAATTATTTTGTTTCAGCTTTTATTTTATTTTTTTTACAAAATGACGCCGTCTTACAATGTCAATTATTGCCTATTTTATTTTCTATCTGTTCGATTTTTCTTTAGTGGTACTTACTTCTAAAAATGACTAACTATGATTAAAAACATGAAAAAAAAGTCTTGTATATAAATACTTAAAAAATATTCAAATACAAAACTAGCAAACAATACTGGCGCAATATTGGGTATCTTGATCAATATAACACAAGCGATATTGCGCAAAAACAGGCTAACAATATTAAGACAATATTGGTGTAAAAAGCTAAAAAGTTAAACTTCATTTATATCGCTAACTTGAAAAAGGGGACATGTCCTGCAAAAACTCACATAAAATCTTCCCTTTTTCAAGTTAGCGATTCATTTATAGATGAGAATGTAGTTAAGTTAAATTAATCTTCCAACCCTTAGGTTGGAAGAATAAATGATTGGCTGTTTTACTGTGAACTTTTTTAATCTTATCTTTTATTTTTTAGAATTTAGGGAGAGTACATTTTTCAATTGTTTTACAGTTAGTTTTTTTTTTTTGTTTTGCAGATGTTCATGTATCATGAAATACACGCAGTGAACTTTTTTTAATTTTATTTAAATAAAAATATTTATTTAAATAAAAACTATGAGTTTTCGAAATCTATTAGAGGACAAAAAGAATGGAAAAAAATTAATAAACTTAAATCTTTTAAAACACTTAACAAATTCAAAGCGAAAATGAAGCAAATGCTTCTGGTCAGTAACGGAGGGCATGAGTTCTTATGAAGTTATCTGGGTGGGACAGAAAAGCTTTTTCAATTTATTTTAAAATTCATTTTTGTCAACCTAATATCGCTTTGGTTAAATCATGCTTAATATATATACATATATATATATATATATATATATATATATATATATATATATATATATATATATATATATATATATATATATATATATATATATATATATATATATATATATATATATATATATATATTATATATATATATATATATATATATATATATATATATATATATATATATATATATATATATATATATATATATATATATATATATATATATATATATATATATATATATATATATATATATATATATATATATATATATATATATATATATATATATATATATATATATATATATATATATATATATATAATTTTAATCCAAAATTTCTTTTAAGCACAAAAAATGCAAATATTTTAATAAAAAAGATATGTGATTTGATAAACAAGATATAGATATGTGAGAGACAAAAAATCAAATATCTATAAACATCTTCATAGTAATGAAAATTGTTTTATGCAATTAAATGAAAAGTGTTTTTCCGTTTTAGATTCAGCATCTAATAAGTTCGAATTAAAACTTAAAGAAAGCATGTTGATAGAATAGTTGAAACCTGGTTAGAACAAACAAGTCAACTATGTCTAAATGACACTTTCTCTTTAGTTATTACTTCCTATGTAAACTTATTAACCTATTCTTTCGTCACTTCCTATTCGTTCTTTTAGTATAACTTGTTATTCTTATAGATTTTGTCGTATTTTTGTAATTAAATTAATAGTTTGTACATATATAATTACAATTTGTATAGTTATTGTAAAAATTATCTATATAGGTATTTAAACAAATTTAAAAATTTGAATTCAACTGAAGATGACTAGTAATAGTCGAAACATGTATTGTTTAAAATAAATAAAATGCTTTTTTTAATTAAAAAGTTTGTCTTGTTTATCAATATATATATATATATATATATATATATATATATATATATATATATATATATATATATATATATATATATATATATATATATATATATATACATATATATATATATATATATATATATATATATATATATATATATATATATATATATATATATATATATATATATATATATATATATATATATATATATATATATATATGTATGTATGAAGAGATTTAGGTCCTGATCGATTTTGTTTTTGACTATTATTTTTAATTGGCCTTCTTTTTTTTTTGAAATAACCGACATTTTATCTTTTACTACTTTGTAACTTTTTATTTTACTTTTTTAAAAGAAAAGTTATAACGACTTTATTGCAAGTTATATGTTATACAAATTTATTTTTATATATTTATGAATTTATTACTATTTTTCCTAGGAATGTTGTTTCACTTTTCTTTTTTTTCTATTTTTAACGGATTCTTTCGTTATTTCAAATCAAATTTAATAATCATTGTTTAAGAATACTAATTAATTAAAAACTAATTAGTTAAAATTGTTTAAAATTTTCTATATTTTCAGAGTCTTAGGGTGGAATGCAAGAAGCAAACTTGAGTCAAGTTCGACTTGAACTTTACTTTGTAACCAATAGCGGCAGAGTATTTTTTGAGGGGAAAACCCATACTCTGTCGCTATTGGTTGCAATGTAAAGTTCAAGCCGAGCTTGACTCAAATTCGCTTCTTGCATTCCACCCTTAAACTTAATTTTTCTTTTTTTTCTTTTTCTTCTTCTTTTACTCTTTATTTATTTCCTTGTAACTTTTTGTTTTATTTTTTTCAAAAAAGAAGCCCTGTTTTATGTATATTGGTAGCAATTATATATGACTTACTAATTATTTATTTTTTACGGAATCGATTCTCGGGGCTTGGACAGATTGTGTCTTCCTCTTGCCCCGGTCAGCTGTATTTATATTGAAATGTTTGTATTTATATATTTATTATTATAATATTATTTTTATACTTTTATTATTATATATTTAAACAATTACTTAAACAGCAAAATAAAAAAGCAAAAAAAAATTTAATGAATTTTAAAGTTGGATCTTTTTAATCATTTTTAAATGAAATTTGCACCAAGGTTTTTAATCACGTGCTTAATATTAAAGTTATATTACGTTTAAACTATAATATAAAAATATTAAAAGATTTATTTGGAAATTATTTTCTTTTCATTTTTTTGCTTACTTTTTAATTTAAAAATTTAAAAAATATTTTAAAGAAAAACGTACCACAAGGTCCTATATTAACAACTGAGACATTCATCTGACGCATGCATGCAGAATTCTTTAAGGTGCATATACTTTTATATGTCACACTATCTGAACCACAAACAGGAGAATATATGGTTGAATCGCACTGCTTTGGACAATTGCAAATTTCTATATTATTGGAATATTCACAAATCCCGTAAAAACAAAATGAAGAGCCACATGTTGGTTTTCCTAAAATTTCAAACCAATCAGTTACAGAAACTAGCTTGAAAAATAACTTGTCTTTAAAATATTCTTTAAAACATTGGCACCCATAAAAATTTTTTAGTGTTTCAGTTATGATACTTTGAGGAATTGTGCAAACTGCAAACTAAGGTATATTTATGTTTATACCAATTAAGAATATTTTGTAATACAAAAATATCATAAAATGGTTTCCTAGCCCTGCCCAATTGTGAGGGCATAAATATAATAATAATTTTTAACTTTATTACTTTATACTAATTTGTTCCCAGGATTCCATCACTACAATTTTTTGCAAAATATTCTAATTTAACATAAACATTAGCATACTTAAGTTTGGAGTTTGCACAATGCCTGAAAGTGTCATATCTAAAATATAAAAAAATCCTTTGGACGCCTATGCTTCAAAATATGCAGTTGTTTTAAATGGCTAACCGTCACTTGAAATATTGTTTCCACAACCAGTTAAAGGTAGTTTATCTTGCAATTCAAATTGAATTGCACAATTTAATGATGTAGTTGGTGCAATAGTTGATGGAAATGCTAAAAATGAAAACAAAGATTTCATTTCATAAAATATACATATATATATTATATATATATATATATATATATATATATATATATATATATATATATATATATATATATATATATATATATATATACATAAATATAAAAAAAATTAAATTACCTGGACATTTTGGATGGTCCAGGCCTGGGCATACACAGTCTGTATAGCTTTGTTCTAAATTGAGACATTCTACTTTCATACACGGTTCTTTGTAGCATGGATCATCTATAAAAATTAAAAGACACGCCTAACTTTTCTACAATAAAACCCACAAAGTATTAAGTAAAAAATAATTTAAAAGGTTTTTTAAAAAATATTATCGATTTTGGACTATCAAGAACGTCAGATAAAATAAGAGCAGGTCTACCTAGAACAGTCGAACTTGTTACTTATCAAGGCTTGCACTCTACTGCTATATCGTTATCTCATATATATATATATATATATATATATATATATATATATATATATATATATATATATATATATATATATATATATATATATTATATATATATATATATATATATATATATATATATATATATATATATATGTATGTATACATATATATATATATATATATATATATATATATATATATATATATATATATATATATATATATATATATATATATATATATATATATACACACATATATATATATCAAAAGTAAACAAATATATAAATAATAGAACAAAATTTTCTACTTTGCTTTTGAGTGCAACATAAAAGATCGTGCTCAGTCCCTTTGGAAATTGCTAATGTTGGCAAAATCCCGATTTCTAAATCAGTGAGACTTCTGAAATATATTACAAGATGAGCAATATCAAAATCCCCATATAACTTTAAGTTTGACATGTCTTCTGGTCGTCCAATAGTCATCATTTTTGTGTACCTAAATGTAAATAATTTTTTAAAAATAAAATTGATTCAATTTTTAATTTAGAACAAATTTTAAACTATTTTAAAATTTTAAATACACAAATATCAAAAATTGCCATAAATATAAAAAGTCTAGTTAACATACGGCTTTCCAAAAACTTTTTTCGAAAATCCAGAAGTATCCTCCGCTTTTGAGTTTTTGTTTTTATAACGACCATCTAAAACTACACGCAACCCATGATCAATGCTCCACACAACAGTGACGTGGTACCAACTATGTTTTCTTAAAATTACGTTAACTGACCAGTGACGCTCTGAACTTGCAAACTCAACATAAAGCGTTTCAGTTTCTGCAACAAAATAAATTAGTATTCCAGGCCCAAAAGAAGAGTTTGTATAACTTCCTGTTGAAATAACGCGTCTTCCGTTTCGCAAACGTATCCAAAATGCAATAGATATAGACTGATCATTGTCACATGAAGAAAATTGAAACGCCAAACAATCTTTAATAAGGCCTAAAAAAGGTAATCCTTATGTTTGTTATGCACAAAAAGATACTGAAAAATTTTAATTTTTGTTAGAAAGCATATAAAAGTATAATTCAAAATATTTTTTTTTTACATTTAATTTATAGTTCATTTATATATCATGTTTCTGATACTTAATAAAAATTAAATTTTTTAAATTTTCTTTTATTTGTATTACAATAATGCTTAACAAGTTTACCTGCATCTATATCGATCCATTGAAGTCCTTGTCCTCTAAGCGAAGCAGCATGTTGTAATCGTGATACAGATATAAATGTTACGTCATATAAATCTGCCTGTGTATGAGTTTCTATATCTAACATAAAACTGTTATTGGTTGCTTTCATTGGCCAATAATAAGCGGAGGCTGGAAATGGCGAAGAACCTGAGTACAAATTAAAATTTATAAGTTAATAATTTACTTAAATATAGGCATAAGTTAAATTTTTGTTTATTAGCATTATAGGTTTTTGTAAAAATATGTTAATCACATTTATAATTGTTATAATTATTTGTTATGCATTTAAGGCAGTCCTTTTAAAAATCTGATCATAAAATATAAAAACAGTACCACCTCTCCGCCTCCCTAATTTTTCTAATTGTAATAAAATTAAATTTTGGTATTCAAAACCAAAAATACAAAACAAAATCAAATAATAGTAATATGGTATTTCTATTAAAATAAAGTCTTAAGTAAAAAAATATAAACATTAGGTCTTAAAAAGTTTTGAAAATAATTTAGAATTAAATATGAGATAATAATAACGTAACATAACCTCGCACCTAGAAGCTAAAAAAATTGAAGCAATATATTCATCGCATTATAATTGTTTAAAAATATCTGAACGGATATATCTGAAATAACCTATTTGTTTACGTAGGGACGCAAAAAGATGACAAAAAATTTACGAAAAACCTTTTAGTAATTATAATTTATAAATAATTTGAACTAAGATATTATTGTTAAATGAGGGGTGGTAAAGTAAATTTTAATAAAATAGGAACCTCAGTGTCAAAAAATAATTCTGGGAGCATAAGCCAACAAATAAAAAGGCACCAGAAACAATACATTTCAAATATTGTAGCATTAACAAAAAGATTTTTGATAATAAACATGATTACAAATGTCAATAAAATTAATCCTAGTTACGTATTATTTACGTATCCTACACAGTCAACATTGTTTCATAACAACATGATTATTGGTTGCAAAAAATATCTAAAAAATTAAAACAATATACATACTGAAAACGAAATGCAGAATTTCATATAAAACGCAGATACGTAAAAAGAAAGTAGCCATCTCTGACAACTTATTTCAAGTAGAAAGTAGAACGCAATGGCAAACCAATAACATAAAGTTTTTTAATTATTGTTTTTGCTCTTGTACTTCATAAAACTTTTTAAAAAATGTTAAATGAAAAAAGTCATATGAAAAAAACGCCGTCAGTCATCTTGCAAGTTTAATATTTAAACTGACTCTCTAATAGAATCTTCACATACAATAAAAACACACTTCTTAACTGGAGAGTCATAGATTTTAAACTCATTTTTTATACTTCATTAGAAGCGTTTGGTTTTATTTTCTTCCTACAAAGACTATGCTATAAAGATTCTATTAAAAGAAAAATTGTCAATACAATTGATTTTATAATACATTTTCGTTTATTTTCTTTTTAAAATTAGAACAATGACCATTATGGCGGATAATACGTCTCATTTAGCGCTTGTCTAAAAGAAAACAAACCTTTTACTTGAAACACAACTCTGAGTAAGATCCGTTTAAATTTAACAAAAATAATTTTTAAATAAACTTTAAGTACAAAGGTTGACACCTGCACATGTATTCTGCATGAGCTCCACGTTCTAGATTTTTTTCCATTTACACCTGGTTATTTTTTGTGTTGGTCTACAAAGGCGGTAGTTTACTTTGTTTTGTTTTGTTCTATTTCTATTCTTGAGGTGCCGAGATAATTAGCGATAAAATTTGTTAAAGTTGAGAAATGTTTCCAAAAGGTATTTTCTCTCGATTAACAATAGATCATATAATTACTTTGAAAAACCAATCAAAAATGAGAAAAAAACAACATTTTTAATATTTTTAAACTATTAACAAAAAATATATTTCTGACGAATTATACTTCCTCTGTCCGATAAACAAAATTTTGGAAAGTAAAAAAATATTTATAAAGTAAAATATTTTTACCCAAATAAAAGTTTTTGAAAAAAGTAGTGGGACACATTCGCTTCACATGCTCCCCCTCTGCCGCTTCCGACAGATAACCTAAACACCCAGCGTATTTAGGTAAACACCCAGCGTGTTAACACGGGAAATAATGGCAGGAATGGAGAATATAAATATTAGTTGTCAAAGACTATTGTAACAAAGCTTCACAAGACTTTATCACTCAATGAAAATTATATATAGTAATTTTATATATATATATATATATATATATGTATATATATATATATATATATATATATATATATATATATATATATATATATATATATATATATATATATATATATATATATATATACTATTATTATTATTTTTATTATTAAATTGAAAACTGTAGTGTAAAAATTATACGGAAAGTAATTACATAAGAGAATACAACAGTTAAATTTATAACAGTTAAAATATACTTTTATCTTTTATCAATATTGTTTTTAAAAGAGTTTATCGTTTTCACATTTCATGATCTAAACTTTTCCAATTGTTACAAACTCGATTTAAGAAAAAGATATGTCTTGCGTTACATTTTGGAGTGTATTCTCTTGAGAATCTGTAGTTATATATATATATATATATATATATATATATATATATATATATATATATATATATATATATATATATATATATATATATAAACTATAAAAAAAACTTTTAATCATCTCCTTTTCAAAGAAAAGGAGATGATTAAAAGCTTAAAAAAGTTTTTTTACTAAATTTAATAAAATGATCAACTAATTAAAATTAAATACTATTAAATTTTAATTTCCTTCCTTTAGTCTCTCAACCGTGGATATTGTTACTACTCCTTAAACTTGAAAAAAATGTTTAAAAAAGCTAGCTGTTATTAAATCCATTTCAAGCAAGAACATCACTAACGTCTAAACGTTTGAGAGAATGGTCTGGAAACCCCTCAAAATAGAAAAATATTAATGTTATTCGAATAATAGTGGTTATTTAAGTAATTAATTTTAATTAAGTAAAGAGATTTTACTAATAAAGTTTTTGATCAACTTGGTATGGCATTCAGCCTAATCATTTATCACTGCAAGTAGAGAGCTTACTTGATAATTTTATTTTGGCAAGCCTTTATCCTTATATGCTTCCACAGAAAAATCTCTGGTGATTTCCAAGAGAATGAAAACAAAATAATTCTGCTAAACAACGTTTTAGTCAAAATAAAACATCGTAAAGAAGATTGGGTTTCAAGTTTCTCAACCGCCTTTTTTGTGTAGAACAGCAAAAGAAAACACTATGTTAAAGGTTATTTTTTTCTTGTATCAGTATCCTGATACTTGTTAGCAAAAGACAAAATTACAGACTGGGAGTCTAGATATTAAGTGTGACAAATCAAAACTTTTGTTGAAAATATTTCCTTGTAAATGTTAGATATTTCAGGATTTTGAATCATATAACATTTGGAGCTAGAAGTCTCTTACAAAAATTCAGGTCATTTAAAGAATTATTGCTATTTACAGTTTTGAAAATATTTTTTAAAGCAAACTTTTATTTAAATACAGTAAAAGTTTTCCTTAAATATCGTGATGCTACACCCCAAAATCAACGACTTTAAGTCTGTTGCAAATTTTAATGCCCTTCTAACGCAGCTTAACTTTCATGTTCGCCCAAAAGTTTTTTTTTTGGTGAACTTTATTTGGAACAAAATCAATGCAAATTTATTTATGCCATTTAATTACACTTTTTGAGTAGTAGTAATAAGAAAGATCAAGTCAGAAGATGGGTGGATCATAAAAGTCAGAAGATGGGTGGGTCATAGAAGTCAGAAGATGGGTGGATCACTATGCTTTCAGATCAAAGGAAAAGTTACATGTTTATACATTTCTTTATGTAAACACTGCAGTTCATGTTTCCGTTTGTAAAAAATAGCTGAATTTTGAAACCAAGCAAATAGATGGCTCGCTAAATTAAATGGCAAGTATTTTAGTTTTAACTGTTTTTAGCATAACGCCAAGGTTCATTTCTTTCGAAACTGTACAAAATTGTGGGCCTAGGAGCATCAAACAACCAAGTTTGCTGTAGACTTTATCATCCATTATAATGAATTTTTGATTTCCTAAAAATTTTTAGGTTTCACTGAATTGCTGAAATGATCTTCCAGGGAATTTCTGCTTTTTGAATGTCTTGTAGCTATATCTCTTTTTGACTACTTGGATTGGCAACTTGGGAACAACCATTTTTTTTAAAACATTTCAAACGGGTACTTTGGATTTGCATTGATACACCTAATCACTTTGTTTAAACTTAAACTTGACGGACTTTTTTTTTTTGGTTTCCTGACTTTCTTTGCAATCCGTGATCTTCACTCCACAATTTTATGATACGATCGACAGTTTTTCTTTGGTCTTTGTACTTTTTTTTGAAAGCAAATTAATTTAAAGTTATGACTTTTAAACCGCTTCGCAGTGGGCCAGGTGGTGGACAAAAGTAAAAAAAATACATTATCAGAAATTACATTATTATATACCATTTTATAGCTTAAACATTCAACTTTTCTAAATGTATATTTTTGTATAATTATCATGACGTATTTTTTATTTTGTATAATTATCATGACGTATTTTATATTTTGTATAACTATCATGACGTATGCTTCTAAACTGTAGAATAAAAAGCTTTTTTTTTTTTAAAAAAAAAAAATTTGTAAATATTTTTTTTAATTTGATAGTATTTTTTATGTTATTTATAAGCATGGAATAGATGTTTAGAACTTTAAAACCTATCTTTTTATTGCATAATTTAATAAAATCAAGTTCTTTCAAATGAGCTATTACAACACTATTTTTTATGTAATTTGTTTCAAATAAAAAGGTTTCAAATGACTGGGTATTTTAAGTACAACCTTTAGTTAAAATTTCACTTATATAGTCTAATAGTTTTGCGGTCCAAAGAGGTCCAGTAATTTGAAACTTAAAATACATTGTTCAATAAGTATATTATCAATATAAATTGGTTTGATATTCCGCGGATGTCCGCCTGGTCTCAATTAATGATTTTTGCAAGTTGACCAGTGAAAAAAAAAAATAGCTAGTTGACGCAAGATATTTTTAAAACGTCTAAAACACGTATTACTACGTATTTTATACGTCTTTAACGCGTCTTTCACCCATATGTAGCGACTAGCTAGTTGCTAGGTCATCTCCCGCCGGGTAAATGATGTATCCGATTTTATGTGACAAAAACATTATATGTATTTTATTCTAAATAGTTATATAATAATTGGGCCTCAAAAAGACTAGATTAGTGTTACAAACTTGTTTTATTAATTATGCATTCTAAAATACCTGTTTGTACAATTTTGTAAATAAAATTTATATATTATATATTTAAAACAGGAAAAGTATTGATATTTATTCATATATACAACAAGAAAACCTGAAGTTAGCTAATCCTAATTATTAGTATTGTTTGGGCTTAACTCGTTTTACACGTTGCTCGAGCTCGACTGGTTTAAAACTCGAAATAATTATTGTAACCTGTTAGTTTAAAGCTCGTTTAGTAAAAAAAAATTGTTCGTTAAAGGCTACTTTTCTGTTTTACATAAATTGTACACTCTTAAATCCATTAAAAATGGTCTAAAACATATTGGGCCTGTTGGCAAATGACAATAGTCAATAGCAGCCTCACGTAATTAAATTGTTTATATTAATCAATTATTTAGTGTAACAAAAGTTATATGGGTCATATCTCATATGGTTACACTAACACTACATTTTTAGTATATACTAATATATATAATATCACAATATAATATAAATAAATAAATATATATGTACATATATATATTCGAGCTTTAATCGAGCCAATATGAACGAGCCTATGATTTCCACCTCGGCTCGTTTAATAAACGAGCCTAATTTTTTGTTCAAGCCCGGCTCGTTTACCATTCGAGCCGAACATGAACGATCTCTTGTCAAGCCGATCACCGAGCCGTTCACGAACACGAGCCAGGATTTACAGCCCTACGTATACCTGTATATAAAATATTAGGATTAGCTAACTTCAGGTTTTCTTGTATTACACAGCAAAATCCAAAATTCTTGTTTTAAGCAAAAAAAGTCTTAAAACAAGAAAAAAATGACTTGTCCGCCACCTAAGTATATATTTTCTTGTTTCAAAAATTTTTGTTCTTAAATACTTTTTTGTCGGCCATATGTTTTTCCGGACTGTTGTGGACCATATGTTTATAATTTTAATTCAGAAATGCAACAGAACATAATGTTTATGAGATTTTGTGTAAAACATACTTCGGATGTTTATGAGATTTTGTGTAAAACATACTTCGGATCTAGC